AGGAAAGAAGTCACATTTGATACTGCAACAGAACAGCAGAATTAGACTTGCCAGCAACAAGTGGAGAACACCTTCTCATTTATCTACTAGTACAGAAAGACACAAAGCAGCTTGCTGATCAAGTGAGAATAGAGTAGTTAAAATATTCTAAATGTATAGTTCTCAAGCAAGCAAAGGGACTACTTAAAGAAATATGGCAGATGTCTCTTAATAGTGGTGTGTAAATGATACACCGCGAAATAATGAATAATTTTCATTGTAGCCAGTTCCACTGCTGTCTTATAGACTAAAATGTCAGTTGATGGAGCACTCCACAATTCAGTTGCTTCATTTAGTGTTGTATAAATTCAGCATGTGTTAGTCTTAATTGAGCCAAGTACTAACTGTGGGAGGTGATCTCAGTGTCTTAGAGCTACAAACTCTTTGAATCCCCTAGAAAAGATATCTATTGCCAGAGTCAAATGAGGTCCTGTACACGCCTTGATAGACAAATCGCTCATCTGATGCTTACCATGAACTGAGAGTGAAAACAATTAGCATGGTGGATGCTACTTTGAGGGAAAAATGTTTTCTTCACACAGCAGATGCAGGAACATAAGGCCAGCAGTGGGTACCAATGCTAAACTGTCGCCGAATTACACAAAAAAACAACAGGCTCTAACAAAATAGCTAGTGTTTTCAAACTTGCAAGATTAGTGATAGGTCCTTTGCCAGCCTCCTTTAGAATGACATGATGTCCGTCTACACTAATTTGTTTTTTTCATACATTTATATTACATTCTAATTTATAGGATGAAGCAGGAAATCTAATGCTGGTATTATCTAAAACTCAGAGGAAGACCACAAAGTCAGTTTATATTATTTTTGATTTTTCAGAAGTAGTTTTGAATTCCAGTACTTTTGTTGATACTGAGTTATCCTACAATATTTTTGCCTGCCCTGATGGCTCTCCTCTGCATTTTTGTGACATCAGTTGCAGAAGGAGAGGGGACACGTTTTTTGAAGCTAAGTTCACATTTAAGAATAGTTAAATTCTACTAACATAGAATTTCAACTAGAAAAGGATCCATAATCACAAATTACCTCCCTGAGTTAAGTGGAAAATTCTTAAATATTTAATTTTGAACACTTTGTAAATTGTCTGAGAGTTACAACTTGTGGTAGGTTATAATATCTAACTGAAAACTCCTTATAGTCAAAATTACTCTTGAAACTTGACTAAAGATTTTATAAAATGTACATGAGTTGGTATATCTCAACCTCAATGGTAACTTTAATCTCTGCAATACTTAAAAAGCTCCAAAACAAGGTAAGTTTAACTATGTGAAAATAGTCAATGGTTAAACGTTTAAATATCCCTAATTTTTAAAACTGCTTGCCTGTAATCCTAGCAGGTGAGAGTTTGAATCAATAGAGTCATGAATTTGAGGCCAGCCACAGTTATATTCTGAGATTCTTTCAAGAAATAGACAAAACAAATGTTTATTGATAAAGCCCATGCACAGGAAAAATAAATAAGTAAGAACTGGAATACTGAGCTGGAGAGATGTTTCAGCAGTTAAACTTTCTCTTTCTCCACAGGTCTGAGTACAGTTCTCAGAGCCCTCGTCCAGATGTGAGGTGTTCATCACTGTTTCTCATTCAATTCCAATGGGATCTGACATCCCTTGCCTCCATCTGTGGACAAGTGTGTGCATACCCACACAGAGACACACATGTGAAACTAAACTTTAACCAAATAGACCCCAAGCTCAGTCCCCCAAATTCCTAAAGACAAATGACAGAGGTGATTGAGAATTCTACTTAAAACAAATTTGTTACATTGATGTGAATCTTTCATAACTCCCTTTAAGTTCTTACTGAATGTGATGATATATTGTTTATGAACTAATAAATCTTTTCTGGAGATCAGAATGCAAAGCTAGACACTGCATAGAGGCCATGCAATGGTGGCACACACCTTTAATCCCAGGACTCAGGAAACAGAGACAGATGGATCTCTATGAATAGGCCACCTAGGGCTACATGAAAGTGAATCAGTCTAAAACAGAAACAGAATTCATGCCTATAATCCCAGCACTAGAGAGGTATATAAGACACGAGCAGGGTCTCATAGCTGGCATTCAGTCTTGGACAATTAGTCTCCAGTCATGTACCTTGAGGCAATTAGTCTCCAGCCATGTTGAGGACAGGGTTGCCCCAGCTTTGGTAGAGATAGGAGTTCTCTCATGACTTGGCTGTTTTGCTTCTCTGATCTTCAGTTATAACCCAATATCTGTCTCAGAGTTTATATTATATGCACTACAATTAAATATTTCATACTTTTAGTACCTAGTATAAACAAATAAGCTGCCTAAATACTTTAACTAAAAGAGGCATAAAGCAATTCTATAGTGGGTACAAATTTAAAATCCAAATATCTGTTTTGAATGCTCTTTATAAAATACAAGTATGAATTTCTCATTGCTAGCACAAATTTTTCTTCATTCCTTTTATCTAGTGTGGTTTAACTAAATTGACAAAGTCATCACAGTTGTGAACTTCCGGCATAGATTCTATTCGGAATGCCCTCTTTGCTTTCTGTTTCTCTTCAAGTCCACATTATAGTTCAACATAATTTTCCTACTATGTGACACTGATTTTTTCGTCCTCCTTAATATTTTCTGTCTCCTGTATTTTTACATACCAAATAGTATTGCCACTCTTTCTTTCTTTCTTTCTTTTTTTTTTTTTTTTGTTCTCTGCCAGAGGTCCTACTTTTCCCAAACTGGTAGCGGTTACCTACAAGACTAAAGACATCCTCCCAAGATTTAACCTTTGTCATGCATGTAGGTGAGTTTTCTCCTTTCCCTAACCTATGTTTTCTTTTAAGTTCTACAAAAATTCTACAAAAAGGCTAAAAATGGCTACTTTTTCATAACTTATCCCCAAACACTTTTGTACTTTTAGATATTCTCATTGAAACTGGAAAGATAAAGAAGGAAAGGAAGAGGAGGAGGAGGTAAATGAAGAGAGGAGGGTCAGAAGGGAGGGAAGAGAAAAAGAAGGAAACCAAAAACCTTCCTTCTGGGAATGTTGATATTTAGGTGGCCAGATGATACCTCTTTTGCCAGCTTACTCTCCTTCCTCCATTTCTTTAGTCTTCATTCCTCCCATCATTTATTGAGCCCCTATACAATTTGTTGAACATCTTAATCACTTTCTTCAAATGGCTGACAGTAAATCTGTACTGTTATTATCCATCTCTGCCCCCAGTTCAAAGTGTTGAAAATAAGATTTAAGAAAAAAAGATCTTACCACAGCATTGTTAACTTTTCTTTTTGCTCTACCTGCTACATTTTAGTTTGTTTCACTAAGTAAAGTGATGGTTTTCCTGCATTGCATAATTTTTTTTCTACAGATAACAAACTAGTGAGGCAGTCATTATAAGCAACTGAATGTCTATTGGTTTGCTTAGACTATCTTATGTGATTGTTAAATTTGAATGTGTCTCCTTTGGAAAGAGTTTTAATATTTCTTGAGAATCAACCGCTTAATTTATACAAAGCTATAGAAAGGCCCCTCAGCTTACATATATGTGTTTCTCAATCTTGGACCTGCTGGGAATGCTGATGACAAAAAGGAAGCCACATAACAAAAGGAAACCCAAAACCAAAACCTGTGGGCTTTTGTTTTCCCTCTTCTGTTTCCAATGCCCAAATCATTTCCCCAAAGTCACATTCTGTAGAGGATGTGCAATTGTGAGCTGGCATACTTGAATTGGGAGCACCATTTTCATAATCACTCTATCATGCTGAAACACTGCCCTCTGCTCAGCTGTTACCCCTTGTCTCTGGCAGCTTAAGGAGTGCCAGGAGACCTGACTGCACACTGAGGGAGCTTCTTTGCCAGCATCACTTGCAGCTGTGGCAATATTCAGGCCTCTTCATTTAACTCCAAGGCACATAGTTCAGTCCGTACGGGACACAGTTACAGCTAATTGTTGGTGTAATCATCACTTTGGACTTCTACATGATATCATTTTCATCAAAATGTTTTCCAACTCTGAGCTGTTATAATTAGATGTGTGTATCAAGTCTCTTACAATAAAATCAGCTGAAACTTTAAAAGCTCAAAGTTTAGATTTTCCCCTAACCTAACAATGAGGTCTGTTCTATACTCATATGAGGATTGTAGAAATTTCTGTCAAAACTCCATAAAAGGAATAGAGATGTATCAAAATAATTTAGAAATTATTTTTGTCGTGCTTTAATTTGCATTTTCAGCTTTGTGAATGTACTTTTGAAAGGATTTTGCTAGACCCAGCAAGATGGCCAGTAGGTAAAGGCAGTTTGGAGCACAGCATGGTGATATGAGTTCAACTCTAAGAACCTATATGAGAGTGTAAAGAGAAAACCAACTCAACAAATTGTCCCCTGACTTTTAGAATTTTACATGCTCACTCAAGCACATCCCGCACACACACACACACACACACACACACACACACACACACACACACACACTAATATTTAAAGGTGATTTTACTAGAATGAAAAAATATATTTGGAAAACAATGTTTAAAGAGAAAAATGCTAGACTCTCTAAGCAGTTGGTAGATATTATGACACATGTTATAAATATTGATCTGATTTCAGCTACCTTACCCCAAAATTACGTTCAGTCCCAAGATTCCCCATTGTGTTAACAGTTCTTGCTTTGGTTAAAATTTCCAAGTCAATGAAGGCATTGTGGCATAAGCCTATAAATACCAGTTCCTCTGGAGGCTGAATGACATAGATCACAATTATGAGACCTTCCTGGGCTACTGAGGAGTTCTAGGGTAGCCTTGGCAACTTTGTGAGACTTTGTTTCAAAATAAAAAGTAGAATAGAATTTTTCAAAAGAGGACAGGGAGTATAACACAGAGTAGTAGACCACAAGACCCCAAATGACAATACTTACTAATTATTTAACTAATTTTTAAAATTACAATTGCAAAAGTCTCCTGTAAGATTTAAGATCGTCTCTTATAGGTTGGAGATTCTCTGACAGTCAAAAACAAGGTAACATTGCATATTCCCATGGTAAACTACACCAAGAAAATGTCCCCATTTCAAAATGAAGAATGGGAACATGGAAAAGAGTAGGGCCCACAAAGACTGAAACTCAGCAAAACAAATGTAAGTGATAGACACCCATCTAGCATCTGCGACATCCTGTTACATGGTATAAACTCTACAATGGATGAACAGACCATCTCTGTATTGTCAGGTGCTGTCCACCTAGTGTTTCCCTTATGCCTGTTCTGCTTACAATCTGCAGCTTTTCTCAGAACGCGTCACACATTTCTGATACCTTTACCTTTTTGAAGTGTGTATTACGTCTTTAGTTTCAATTTGACAGGCTCAAGTTTCCCTTTCAGAGGCATCCAGGTAAGGGCTCTGGCACTACACCTCATTTCCCAGTGTCCTTGCCTTTGGTATCTCCATGGACACATTTGTGATCCCACAAGATTTGCACTCTGTAGCCCTGAAGACCAGCTCCAGGTGAAGAACTTCGAGGTCTTTCACCAACTCTCGAGTAAAGACTGTGGTGGACTGGGTTGCTGAGCATAGAGAAATACTTTCTAAGAACGTTTACAAACAAAATGCCCCATAGCTCTCCGCTCAATTGCTAACATCTTAAGTTTAACGAATTCCTTAAATGTCTTCAAAACACCTTTTATACTATCCTTATGCAAATTAATTGTCTGTATTTTACTGGCCGTCCTTTCTTTAACAATTATACCTTCCTTGTCTGCAAGTTTGAGCATGTGATATCTCTGAATACACTACAAAAGCCTAAAAACAGTTTCTGCTCCGCTTTTGCTCAAATTCTATGAATTTGGCTAAAAGCAGACAGAGATAACCATGCAAAATCCAAATGTTCTGCTGCCAGTCAGCTGGTTCTGTTTTTTCTTGGACCATAAAGAGCCTATGGACCATAGTATTTAGGGGTGGAGAGGCAAAGCTATTTTTCTTATAGCTATAAAAAAGAAAAGGAGATAGAAAGTGGGATTCTGGGAAGAAAACAGAGTCCTGAGTGACTTACGTTTTCTAGCAAAGACCAACTTTATATATAGTATTTAGAAGCTCCCAAGATAGTACCAACAAGTGAGGACCAAGATTTTAATTTGTGACGATATATAAAACTTGTTTCTGACCCACATCTAAAGGATCTGTGTTACAGTTTGTCCTTTCAAATACCCATGTGAAGGTTCAATAACCTCTGCCTGAATCTCAGCTTCCAGGATTCCTCTGTTTTCTGGAGTCAACACCTCTTCATCCCATTTCCTGTTTATTCTTTATCTGATTATGCAACAGTCAGGCAGATGTCTTGAGTAAATTGATCTCCACTTCCACTCTTAGTCCAGGCTTCTGATTTCTCTTTGCATTCTACAAAGTCTATAAAATGTTCCTTCACATCTTTCAAAAGTGCATCTACAGTGGTCCTGATAACAGTATTAGCAACAGCAGGGAATATGTTCTGTAACTAGAAATTCAGTTCTTGATCATCATATTATACCTACTAAGTCAGAAACTCCAGGGGATAAAGACCAGTCATTGTTCCTTAAGACACCTCGAGATAATACTGTTGCAGACCGAAGTTTTTCAGACCACTGATACAAAGTTAACATTGAAAAACAGATCACAATTTACAAATTGTTTAATCAATTTATTTAGTGATATCAACAGACTCCATGATCATACCAGGAAGAAAAACTCAATATTTACCCCTCCTTCTCACCAATTAAACAGTATTCTTTCTTACCTCCTGTATGGGACTTCGGAAGGCTAATGCAGCTAGTCTAAGTTTAAGCAAGCAGCAAACGACAGACATCAATTCTTCTTTCCCCAGATCCAAAGAGGCCAATTGCTTGATTGCTTACTGGTGTGTATATTCTGTATCATGTAGCCCAGACTGTCCTCAAACTCTCACTATGGAGCCAAGGGTGACCTTCAACTTCTGAATGTCCTGTATATGCCTCCTGGTGCTGGGCTTATAGGTTAGCACCACCAAATGCTAACTATCACATTTAGGGGGGTTGTTCAGACTTGGCAACTGAACTTTAAACCCAGAACTATTTGTGACTTTATATGTCATGATATTAGGCATTTCACTTAATTTCCCTTCACCTAAAATCTTACTCTTATGGATAATACAGACATTACAATAATACAATATTGCATAATTACTGTTGAGTTACCATTAACATGAAGTTCTCAGCACAAAGGTCAGAATGTAGTGAGTAGGAAATCAGTGTTACTCATACATCCATTATGGGCATCACATAGGCTTCACTACTTTTAGAGAACACACATTTCCTCTGAGCAGCATAAAACCATGTATTGACCTCAGTACCATGCTGCAAAGGGAGCAGTATCACACTGGCAAAACCAAATAGAAAGATTGGAATCAAACAAAAACCCTTGATGATTAACCAAAAAGACTCATCATTAACGGATATGTGCCAGTGCAACATCCAACTTCTAAATATTGCCTCCTGGAAAGAGCTGAAAACACAGAATTTGTATAATAAACGGAAGATATAGGTAAAGCTCCAACCCCCTCGGTGGCCACTCAGTATATGGAAGAGTATATGAATGGTTGAAACTGCTTAGGAGAATTCCTGAAGTGTGTGTTTTTTTTTATGCCTACCAATATTTAAGCACAGGCTAGGAATTGCATGCTGGGGTTGTTAGTTTCTGTAACTACCCATCCAGTAGTAGCAGAAGAGAAAACATCTTAAATGAAAGGTTTGACTTTTGTGATTGATTTGAGTGATTTCCAACACTTATTATTTCTTATCTTAGTGATACACAAACAATAAAGGCATCACATTCTCTCTTATTCACTAATGCTACCAGACTGAATTGCTAAAAATATTATTATAAATTCCTCTCTTCCTGATCAGAGTGTAGTTTTATGAATGTTCATTAACTTCAGAGATCTACTAAAACTATAGGCATTTAGCTTATTTTGCTATGCATTTATCTCCCCATTTATTTCTTTCTGTACTCTGTAGCAAGGAAAGAAAATTTTAATTTTCAGAGACAGAGTTCTTATTTATTTGTTGTTATATTATTGAATCCCATGTAAAACAGAATAATTTTAAGACAGAAAGTGAACAGAGCCTAGATGTAGAACACAAGATTAAAAAAAACAAAATATTGTGGGATAACTTCTCACTATAGATGTAGCTGCCTAGAAACAAGAATATTCACATCAAAATGAAACTTACTTAAAAGAATGCTTAGTGGGAAAGCACTGGGAGGAGAGAGAATCACCAATGAGATGAACTCTCTTCAACACTGATTTTATGGATTATGCTTGTTCTTCTCTAGATGAATCCATGACAATAATTTCACATTTTCTCATGCTCATCAAGATTAGTGACCATACAGCACAACCACAAGTACAATCCTTATGTAATGAATGCTTTGTATAACTATGAAATTATCAGGTAAGAGCAAATTTTGAAATGATTAATTCTATTATACTTCCTCATATTTTTCTATTCTTATTTAATCTTTGTATCAATAACAGATTGGTGATATTTTACTTCTCTTTTAGTTCTTAATGTATTCTTTTTTGTTTGTATATTTTTATTTGGGTGGTTGCTATTTACTGTTGTTGGTGTACAGGCTTTGTAAATAATGCTGGTGTCTTTATCATGGTTTTGAAGTGACAGGAGATTTGGGGAAACTTTGATAATCTAAACACATTTTGACTGATGGGAGCTGAAGTGTATGATTTGCTTTGATGATGAATGACCAATGCTGAATGATGCAGAACAATTCAGTTCCATGAACCATTCTCACTGTGCAAAACTGGGCAGAAACCCACGGAGATACAATGGATTGATTTTCTAATCTGTCATTATTGAAGTCATGATTTCAAATCTTGATGTCCTAGAGTGGGTAAACTGAGGTAATAACAAGTATTTGGACATAGAAGGTCATATATTATAGCAGTGTGGGAAAGGTGAATATCAGTAAATATGCTTTTGAGGAACTTCTTATGTTTGGAGAACAGAAGCTTTTCCCTTCATGATTTCTCAGCACACAAACCACTAGTCCTACTCTAATCAATATTCTGTTGCTCTATAGATCATCTTATGGTAAAGAACTTCTCAGGGAAGTAAAAGACAAATAGGAAAAAATGCAAATGTCTAATTTTCCAAATACTCATTATAAAAAGTTCTAATACAAAATATCTATGCAGTATACATTTCAAATAAAATACACAAAACATTTCCTGCACAATGTAAGTATTTTTGTGACTTAATATTTTCAATGATTTGTCAGTTAAAATGCATTAGATCTAGGCATCTGTTCTCACCTATGGGTAACCATTAGAATTAAAAATCTGGCAGTTTTACATGGCTACACTTGATAGATTTGCTAATGGAACTTTAAGAGGCTCTGGGTGGGGATCATTGTAGATCATGCATTTTCATTTTATAGGGTCTGATTTCATGCTTAACACCAAACCCACAAAGAAAACAGTTAAGAGGAAATCTATATATAGCATCCTTCCAGTTCTGCTAAATATAGTCTGTCCACTTACTATCCTCCACAGAACTTCATGGAAATTTATATTTCCAGAGTTTTCAAAAATTATCCAGTTATTATTGTGGAAGGTTGTCATCATTGGTATCATGCAAAGGCCATTTTGGTTCCCTGAGTAAAGTCACCATGGTGAAGGTTGTTTGTTAGACAAAATGGAAAACTCAGAATGACAGTGGAGGCTCAGCTTTCATGCTATATTCTACCAAACACAGTGGGAGCCCGGAAGTGACGGTTTGTCAAAGAAAGCTGAGTCAAAATGTGTGCCATCCCACATGTACACACCAATATTCACCATAGTGAAAGCAGAAACCTATTCCTGCCCATCCTGCCTCCTTTAAGCAGATCACAGTCTCCCAACTGTCTTCAATAATACATGAATCAGAGTGACACTGAGCGACTTCTGAGGTTGGGTCATCAAAGGAAGTATGACTTTAGCCTGTTTCCTCTTTCGAACAGAGCAATGAGCATCCAGGACCAATGTGGTTTTTATATTTGTTTACAAATGCAGGCTATGTTTTTCTTGGATATATAGCATCTTTTGTGAGGAGGAAGGTTGGGGGCGTTGATGGGAATCAATGCAGATTATTTATTTAAAAAACTAATCATTTTCAAAAACAATTTCAAGTAAAATAAATTTTTTAAAAAGTTTAAAAGTGGGTGGAACATGAAGAATTTTTATATAAATAAATTCCAAATGAATTGATTAAAGTGTGTGTGTGTGTGTGTGTGTGTGTATGTGTGCGTGTGTGAGTATTTCAGGCCACCTACCTTTTAAAGCCATTTTGAACTCTAAGTACAGTGATTAGTTTCATGGATCTTTTAGATATAGGTGAGTACTTAAGATCAACATTTTTATTCTAATCCAGGAAAAAAAATAGAATTTCAATTCCTATTATATAATCAAGTTAGGGGATATACTTTTAGATTGGATTATGTCATTGTGACAGAGCATCACTAGTTTTTATTTAAAGAATGATTTATACATTTATTTTACTCTTTTAAATTTAGAATTATTTAAATACGCTTTCTCCTCTCTTTCATCAAACCAGATTAAACTGGTTGCTAATCTAATTTTTGTTTGAGATGATCCAGAGCCATCCAAATCCATTCCCTGGTTAAATGACATGCAAATCAGATTAATTTGCGTGTGCTACAGACTCTTAGATAAGATTGTTGCTTCTGGGGCTTTAACAGCAAAGTACCCCCCCAAGTAATGTTTACTATTTTTTTGTTCTATCCTGGCAATGTCTCTCCACAGGAATGATGTTTGGAAGATGAATATTCTGAAGCAATATCTTTGCAGGGAGTTAGGAAATGCAACAAAACCATCTTAAGAAAGCAGAAGATGCATTTAAAGGTTAAATTTTCTTTCCAGCATCACAACACTGCGGATTCAGATTAGCTATTTGGACATATATGAAAAGGGTCTTACCAAAAAGTCCATGCTTTGTTGTTTTTTATCATTTTGTTTTAATTTTTTTAGTAAATGTTCTTGCTTATAACAATTGAAATGCGGTTTTTATTTAAAGCAATAAGTGCACAAACCTAAGTCTAAATTTATATCCAGTTTTGAGATGTTTCCAACATTTATTGTTTGTATTATCCAAAATACCTCTAGATGGGCATTTTCTCAAATTATAGCACAGTTGAACATAGATGCTCAGAAAGGAAATAAGAAGGAAGACTTTGTCATGCTTCTGAATTTGCAGATAACTAAGTGTGCCTGCAACACAGCTTGCACCATAACCTTCCCTAGTTATTCTCAATGTCTAAATATCTGATTATATAGGTATATTTTTGTATATATAACGGCTGGTTTTCATTTTCACCATGGCAAAAACCAGACTAAGCTGGCTGATGGGGTTCTGGGCATGCATACAGGAGAATATGCTAATTAATTAAGATGGGAAGAGCCACTCACTCTATAGGTGGCACTCTTCCCTAGCCACAGAATCCTGATTTGTGTAAGAGTAGAAAAATCAAGAGAGCTGAGCATTAGCATGCTTGTATTAACTATCACTCTCTGCTCATGACTATGAATGTAATGTGACAAGTTTTTTCAAATTCCTGATTATACGACATCTCTACTTAAATGGACTGACTACAGCCTAGAACTATCATCTGAATAAACACATTCTCTTTTAAGTTGCATTTGTCAGGGGATTTCATCACAACAGCAGAAGAAACTAAGACAAACTATATCATACATATATACATACATGGGTACCTATAAAATAAGTATCCAAAGCAATTCTCTCATTTTCTTTTTTTCAATTGAAAATAGATTATTCTCATACAATACATCCCAACAACAATATCTTGCATTCCTCTTAGATCTCTGACATAACTCACATCTCCTCCTGATCCACTACTCCTTAGCTTCCTCTTCAGAAATGAGCAGGTCTCCAAGAGACCACAACTAAAAATGGCAAAACAAGAAACAATAAGACCTCATATTGAAGCTGTATAAAGCAACTCAATAGGAGGAAAAGAGTCTCAAGAGCAAACCAAGGAGTTGAAGACCACTCCTCTACCCCTGTTAGGAGTATTGCTTGCAAGATATGCTGGGGAAATGGTGGCAGAGAACTTTTGGCCAAGAAATGTTTGGTTTAGCTTGAGGCCCATGCCTGCATGGCCAGGAACGAGAGACTAGATATCCCAGAGATCTAGGTAGAAACAAACATGACTGGCAAAGAAATAAAAATTTCATAGCAATTCTTGAGAAGCCAGACTCTATTTGCCTGTTCATTACATCACTGGTTCTAGAGGTTCTATTATTCCATTCCAAAGATAGTTATATTACCATTTCAAAGACGAGAAAATTGAGAAGCAGAGAGGTTAAGAAAACTCCCCCATTGTAAATGGAACAGCATACACGATCTAATTCCAGAACCTTAGATTTTTAGCCACATGAAATTGTTCAAAGGCTGTCATTATAACTGCTATAATCATGACCCTCTGGATATTGTTTATGTTTGGGATGTTTTATTTGCTTCAGTGAGCAGATTATGCAGTTTAATACAATTTTATGACAGATTTGTTTTGACTCATCACAACAGCCTGAAAGAATGGACATCTGCTTGCTAATGCATTTCATAATTGCTTTTAAAAATAGGACTTGTGTATTAAAGAAAACAATAATCCAGACCCCTCAAAAATATTTTTAAGTAAAAAATGTTTCTGAAGAATAAACATGAAATGTTATATTCTAGTTCAGTTTTTTTATTAAAGTCAGAGATAGACTATTTCCTTATTGCCTAAATATAACTATAAAAGAATTAACAGGCACCTTTGATACTTGACTTATTTAGGTCTTCCCCGCATGTCCTGCATGAACACATTGCTATTAAGTTACATGGCCTGCAGAAGACCTTTTGGGATGTAATCCCTATTTAAGATCATTTGTTCAGATCACAGCTAAACACTTCCTATGGTTTTGAGTTTAAATCATTAATGTCATAGTCTGCTATACCCTTTAGTCAGAGTCATATAATCTCTGTGGTCTTTTAGCTTTAAATATAACAGGAAGCTACTTTGTCTACTGAGAAAATGCCCTCAATCTAGCAGAACTTAAATCTGATGGCATGTTACTCTCATATGAATGGGCTTCTTCCAATTTCATCCTATCTCTCATGGCATTAACTTGGATCACCCTCACAACTGCCAAGTCCTTTCAACTAGCTGTCTCGTCTTGTCTGTCAAATGCCCTCTCTTTTCCTGCACAATCCTGGCCTTAGAAGAGAGAAAACCTGTCGGAACACTTTAGCATTTTACTTTAGTATTTTATTTCCCTTCCCAGATGGCTTGAATGGATGAACTTCCTTGACTGTATTGATTTCTACTTCCATTGATTTCTCTATGACAAGTATTTATTGCCTATTTACCTCCTTAACTTGCTGCAGTTTGCTTTCCTGCCTTTCTACTTGGCGGAAACCAATCTTTGGAAAGTCACCTGAGACTTGCTAATAATTGAGTCCACCACTTTTCCTAAGGTACTTCCTCCAATATTGTTTTTTACCTTCTCTAAGACACCCAGCAGTCTCGACTAATATTTATTAAGCTTCTTATATACCGAACTGTAAGCTTTTGTTATGAGTCTTACCAAGCATTATGCTGTAAAAAGCCTGCTCAAGGTTCACTTGCAGATGGAGAGCCACTGCTCAGACAGAAGAATTCTTTCATGTGGTTTCATCTGAGTTACAGAAGCTTCTCCCTCATTCTACATGATCTAATCAATCTGTCAGTTTAGTCACCTTTAGATTGTCACTCTTTGCATTACGATGCAATTGTTTTCCTACAATTATCTTCACCAGCACAACATAGCAATATAGCATTGGTTACATCTAAATATGAAAAATCGTACTTCATCTGTGTATCACTGCAAGGTGTTCACAAACCTAAAAGAAGGTGAAATAGTCTTCATTCTTCCTGGCATTTAGAGCATGAGAAAACACTGGATTGAAAAGCAATAAATAAATTTCATTGATTGAAGAATAAATTATATGATGAGAAAAACACATGGAGATTTCAGAACGATCTAGAGCCTGATAATGGGGAAGATTGGTGTTTTTGACAGTGTATATAAATTTAGGGTTGTAAGTTTGTAACATGGTGTTCATAGGGAGCATTATCACTCCTTAAAGTAGTAAGTTTAGCTGCCCTATTTCTTCTTCACCACCAAGGAGAACTAAGCAACTCTATTATTACTATCACTAGAACTAAGTGTAAAGGGGAGAGGAAGTGTGACATTGATGAAAGGAGACATGGATGAGAATCCAATCATGAAAACAAGAGTCTGCTCACTACTATGGCAGAACTATAATATGTGATAATAAACTCTAAGGATTTATAGGGTTGACAGTGTTGTCAAATTTTAAGACTTTACCAAAGAGAAAAAAATAGGAGGAAGAAAAAAGAGAGATTAGATAATTGCAACCAGGGATCTTATTCTTTAAGCATGGCACCCTTCATCTCTTGGGTGTCATTAGAAATCTTCTTTGAGTTGAGGGTTCTTATTTCTCCTTTTATCCCATTTAAATGTCTGGGAGAGGTAGTGTCAGTTTCAAGTATGAAAGCACCATGCTTTCCAATTTACCTGTCTTATCTCCTTAATTCAGTTCCTCTTTCCCACAACTTATTGATGGTTTTTCAAAAATACAGCACACAAATTACCCTTAGCAGATTTAAAAGAAGCATCAGGTCATTCTTCACATAGGAAAAAAAACCCAATGTGACTTAGAAAGCCTTTGAGATACTGTTTATGATTTACATAAAGGGTATTCATAGTGGCCTTATTAGCAATACCAAAAACAAACATGATGACAACTTTCTGTATGAAAGGAACTTACTTAATTAACTTTGGTCTGCTTCTATCCACAAATAAACATACTAATAAAGTGTAAATAAAAATGAACTCTCTCTTTCCTTTCTCTTTCATATATATGTGGAATAATTTCAAAGATATGTAATTAAACAGCAACCAAAGGAGTAGTATACCAAATATAGTGTGCTACTTTTTATATAAGACAAACAGAAAATGCAAATATATATATTCACATATGTATTTTTTTTAGTTTTGGAAAAATAGCTAAGTTAATCGTGAAGAACAGTTTTTCCAAAGGTGTTTATATGTAGTACAGAACACTTAAAAGTGCCCAGAAAGATATTGCAAGTCCATCTTTGTCTAATATATGGAAACAGTGCTCCTTAGGGGGTAAAAAATGGCTGAACTCAGGCTAGGGCAAGATTACAGAAAATGAGCCTAGAAAATCTTGAGAGGCATAAAAGCAAAAACATTTCAAAGACTAAGAAGGTTATGTTAAAAGTGCATAGGAACCAGCTGGAAAATGGCTTTCGATGGGACAATTTAAGCATTAAAAGACTGACTGCAATTGAATGAAACATACTGAATGCATAAAAATCTATGAGTTCATGATGCTCTAAAAAAGATAGTGGCAGAACAGGAGGGAGTAATTATAGGCTGCAAACAATCTTATCAAAACACTAATCCACCGATCTGCATTTGGACATAACCAATGCATCAGCCTCTTTTGTTTCTGAAAGGGTTGGTGGGCAATTAAAGAGAGCAGTACATTTTTCCTAGATGCTTTGCGTGAAATTTTCAAAGTAGTACAATAACACCAGATGATGGAGGAAAGTCATCCTATAGCAATTTGAGCTAACAATTGTTGAAGAAGCAATATGGAAAAATTACTGTTTTCAACCACCACTAATGAAGGATTAGTCCTATAACTAAAGGAAATATTAGTGCCATAAGACTGATGACAACTTATCAATACAAGGGTCAGGCAATATCTACTTGAACCAAGGATCAATGTTTGCATCACTAAAAGTGAGATGACTGGGTATGTATGCTTCCTGGGGGAGAAAATTGCTTCAAAGTACAGAACAATACAAAGCAAAATGAGAAGGGGGTG